TATATATATATATATATATATATATATATATATATATATATATATATATATATATATGAAAATTAGTAATTTTTTTGAAAAATTGGCTGAATATACTAAAAATTTTAAACTATATATTTTAAGATTGGCTGATCTTCTAAAATTTTCATATATATATATATATATATATATATATATATGTATGTATATATAGGCATTTATGTCTATTAAGTTAGACCACCTTCGTTTTTTTTTAAATAGCCAACATCTTTCGGAAAAGTGTCAGTTGTATATGTACAAAATTTACAAGATCTACATAGTAAGTGTCTCATTTGAGCTATCATTAGTTTTGTGTAGAGGGTGGAATTTATGACCGTTATAAACAATAATTACTTATGGTGCCTCTTCGAAATCTCGTACATGAATATAATCGCAAATATATATCGCATAAATATATCATATATAAATGCATCGTCTAAATAAATCGAATATTACACATACGTGTATTAATGATATACCGTAGCAATATATTATGTAAATATATCTCATAACGACCACAATTGTTTTCTTTGTGGGTTGAGCTCATAGGAGTTTGGTCCCTTTAGAGAGGAGAACTCTTCTGTCCTTTTTAGTTTTTGCTTCCGTTTTTTTTGGGGGGGGTGCGGGGAAACGGCGTCTTTACTTTCCTGACCACCAGGGCGTCTACACACGTGGAAACTGGTCAACATGTACACGGCCTAGCGAAAGAAAAATGTAATTTCTATTCACTTATCCGCGGACGATCAAAGGCCATAAAATTGGTAAGTTATTTCTTTGTTCTCGTTCTGTACACATCCTCGTTCCTTTGGGACAATATGAACACTCATTTGTTTTGGGACTGATGCGATGAATATGCATACACCTGGGTTCCCCCTCACAGTAATATGATTGGCTGGTGTCAGCCATAAATACAGACTGATGTGGAGGTACATGGACGACGCCTATTAGCTACGCCTATAGTCTTCGCCTATTGCCTACGCCTATTGCCTACGCCTATTGCCTACCACGATATTGAGTCACCCCCCCCCACGAGGGTGTCATGTGGCACAAGGCCTTTTTAACGTGGGCATTCGGAGCCCGTGGGCTCGGCCAAAAATATGCCCATTGAACCCGTATAAACGGGTTCAGGGCCAGTTTTACCTCCCCGAAGGAGACTCCGCCCTTCGGCGTAGCCTCCTTCGGCGTAGCCTCCTTCGGGTTCCTCCCGTCCGTAGGAAGAGAGTTCAACCGAGCAGTCGGTTCAAAAGTGAACGACTGACTCACTCCTATTGCCTACCACTACGACGAGGACCAGTCCATTACGGTTACATGCTAGATGGTCCTACCCGGTTACAGTAGTCCAAAACCACTTTGCTACTTCGAACAAATATATCCCTTTTCGGGACATATCAGGGACATATGTAAATCTTTTTAATATATGTATATAAGTTGTTTGCCTTATATGTTTTGTTTGTTACGCTCGCGTATTTCGTCTTTCTGTATTCGCATTCAGTGTTAGTATATCAATGGCTACGCCAATGCTTTAGTATCGGTATGCTACCGGAAGGCTAAAATATGTTATACTTCCTATCACAAAAGAGTCGGTAAACTCTGCGTGACCGATAACCTATACTAATATCGTGAATAAATAATCGGGTATAAATACACCGTACAAATATATTGTATAAATTTATCGCGTAAATATATCTTATATAAATATATAAAATATAATTTTTCTTTGAATATCAATCTTGGAAATATTAACTGAATTATAAAATCATGCGTATATATATATATATATATATATATATATATATATATATATATATATATATATATATATTGCTTTATACTTGCTTTCATAGCGAAAAAAATAGATGGTACAAATCATTCTTCAAAAAATAGGAAAATAGGAAAAAATGTTAAAAATCGAAAACTCACACGGTTTTTTTTCTTTGATGGAGGAGCTGATATTAAATTTCCCGCGTAATTTTTTCCGTAAGTACCAATTGCTTAAACTGATGTCCTCATGTCAATGTCAACGTTCTGTAGAAAACAAAAATAGAAACAAAAAAGTTACAGACATTTTTGACTAGAAACACTCGCATGCACTCATTCAAATACGCGCATACACACGTATATAGAACTGGTTAAACAGAGAGACATATATATATATATATATATATATATATATATATATATATATATATATATATATAATAAAAAATAAAAAAATATTAAAAAATTAAAAACTTTGGGATTTATATTAATATTCTTTCGTTCTTATTATTATTTCATTTAGATTCCTCAACTAGTTTCGGCCAACATGGCCATCATCAGGAGAAAAAAATTCTGCTTGTTAGTAGCAGTGAACTACAACAATGAATGACTTGATGGAGGAAATTAACTTTTGTCTCTAGTTTTCATTTGTTTTTTTTAATTTTTTTAACATGAATTTTGGTCATCCCTTGTGTTGGTAAAACAGTCTCTTTTAAGTTGTTATTTAAGATAAGAGCTGGATAGATTCATACTGCTCTGAAATCCCATGGTCATTTTCACAGTTTTAATGGTCCCTGAAAAGGGGATGCGTCTCTTTGGTTCTTAGGAAGTGAGTGAGTATGATGTCTGTATATTACTATGGGTGTGTGTTATCATTTGGCTCATTACGTAGTGAGTACGATGTGTGTAATTGTGTATATTAGATATGGGTGTGTGTATAGATATGAGGCCTCAACACCGCAAGAATGGCTGTCTTGTGTGGGTGGGAAATGTGGGTTTGACCTAATTTGTTGGGTTATATATATATATATATATATATATATATATATATATATATATATATATATATATATATATATATATATATATATATATATATATATATATATATATATATATATATATACAGTCTCTTTTTAAGTCGTTATTTAAAATAAGAGCTGGATTGATTCATGCTAGTCTGAATTTCTATATATATATATATATATATATATATATATATATATACTTTATATTTAGGCAGCAATTTTCATTGAGGCATGTTTCATTAAATAATATAGACAAGTTTTGTCTCTTTATTTTAAGTAAGTTCTTTTCATATTGTCTAATAAGCTTAATCACATTATCGTTGAAAGACGAAAGAAAATCACCATATTGATGCATGTTTTAATCCAATCTGAGCCTTCGGTTTACACAAGCCATTATCAAATATGACAATTTCAATAAATCAAACAACACAAGGACGAAACAACAATGATAATCAGCCCTTGCTACATGAAAAATTTACAAATAACGACAAACTCGTATATATATATATATATATATATATATATATATATATATATATATATATATATATATATATATATATGTGTGTGTGTGTGTGTGAGGGGTGCTGTGTGTGTCAATAAAAAGCAAGAGAAAATACTATTCTTAGCCGAAGCGTTTCGTC